TAAACACGTAAACAAACGGAAGCAGTATGACAAGAATAGATATCTTAATATTTCACAGCAGTAAAGACAATAATTTTTGCTCTTTCGTGGTGTGAAGCCTCTAATCAGAAGTATTTGTGCCATCAAGTAAGAGAAGCCGCGCGACAGCACGCTCGGCAAAAAAAAGCGCCGGAAACGAAAACGAAACTGAAACCACCGGAACCGGAATCAAGAGTAAGCTTTTCTCATCGACCGTTTGTCGCGCTAGTTGTTATACGGGACGCTGGGGCCTACGGCAGTGTCCGCTCTTTACCTTGTGTAGATTGCTCTATGCCTGCCGTTCCGCCGCCATCAACGCCCGCGGCGCTCTACTGTTATCTTCTGTTTAAAAATTAAAACAGCGCAAGGACACGGAAAAGAACAAGAAGGTAGACGAACAAGGCGCTGACTTACAACTAACGTTTATTCGTGCTAACATGAAGTATAAATACTATAACGTCATGACACACAAATAAAGATAAAATACATGTAATGGACGCCACGTGCTCCTTAGCCACATTTATGCGCTGTCACTGTGTGTCAAGAAATTTAAGCCACATTCCTTTTCGGATAAACATATTGAAGGGGTGCTGGCACAGTTTTCCCCCCATTTTCTAATTTCCCGCGCCTCAATAATTTCTCGAGTTAGTTTGTCTTTATTTTTCCCAATCACTTCACACTTTTCGAAGACGGGAGTGCAGCAGCAGTCTCAACAATACAGGCCAAGGTGACCTGACAAACTCTAAAGACATTATACTTATGTTGTGTGTCATGACGTGTCATGTGTGTCATGACGTTAAACTATTTATACTTCATGTTAGCACGAATAAACTTAAGTTGTAAGTCAGCGCCTTGTTCGTCTACCTTCTTGTTCTTGCCCGTGTCACTGCGCTGTTTTAATTTTTAATCATGAAATACCAACTAGCCCAAACTTCTACGTTAGTCATCTTCTGAGTGGGCATGGTAGCGCATCTCGGAGCATGACGACTAAATGGCTCTTCCTGATTACGCAGTTGATGCTGGCATCGGTCGGTTGCCTTCCAACACGTGGCCAGCACCCGTCGCCTCAAGTGCAGCGTCAAGATGCTGACTCAACCTGCATCTACGATAACTGCTCAACAAGACCACATGGCTTCGTGACGTTTACACCGTTCCCGACAGCAGCGACATCGCCTACAAAAGCCGCGTTCCGACTGGATTTCGCCAGTGGGCATGGTAGCGCATCTTGGAGCATGACGACTAAATGGCTCTTCCTGATTACGCATTTGATGCTGGCATCGGTCGGTTGCCTTCCAACACGTGGCCAGCACCCGTCGCCTCAAGTGCAGCGTTAAGGTCCTGACTCACCCTGCATCTACAATAACTACTCAACGGGACTACGTGGCTTCGTGACGTCTACACCGTTCCCGACAGCAGCGACATCGCCTACAAAAGCCGCGTCCCGACTGGATTTCGCCAGTGGGCATGGTAGCGCATCTCGGAGCATGACGACTAAATGGCTCTTCCTGATTACGCAGTTGATGCTGGCATCGGTCGGTTGCCTTCGAACACGTGGCCAGCACCCGTCGCCTCAAGTGCAGCGTCAACGTGCTGACTCACCCTGCATCTACGATAACTACTCAACGGGACCACGTGGCTTCGTGACGTCTACACCGTTCCCGACAGCAGCGACATCGCCTACAAAAGCCGCGTCCCGACTGGATTTCGCCAGTGGGCATGGTAGCGATCTCGGAGCATGACGACTAAATAGCTCTTCCTGATTGCGCAGGTTAGTAAAAATAAGTCAATTTATTACGAGTATAAGAGCAATTATTTTTGCCTTATTGTGCTGCCATGCCCCGGCACTGTTCTTCGCATCCTTGTAGAATGTGTTCGCACGGTAAAGTTGTTATTACTGGCCGGTGACGTCGAAACTAACCCCGGCCCTGATAAAGCTAGTAAAGCCGATACGCAGGATCCCCTTCAGCAGATTTTAAAAAGCCAGAAGGACATTGCCAAGGACATCAAAGAAATGCGAAAGGAACAACAAAGCGTTAAGGAAATGTTTGTAGGTGTGAAAAAGTGACTATGTTCTATTGAGGCCACCATTGATGAGGTCAATAGCACAGCAAGGTCCTTCCAGGCTTACGAGGCTAATGCTGCTGAGCTAAATCACACTGTTTCCGATTTAAGAGTGACTGCTTCTCAGATGGGAAACAAGCTTGATGACTATGAAAATCATAGTCGACGGAACAATGTTATTGTTTTCGGTATACCTGAAGATCGTCAAGAGAACCCTGTCCAACTGAAGCAGAAAGTTTGCAGTGATGTTTTTGTTGGTAAATTGGATGTACAGTCGGCCGCAAAATTTTGCGGGACATGTGAGCGCCAGCCAAACTGCATTGCCGCGCCGTCTCGTGGCCTACTGCCTGGTGTCAAGACTAGCGCATTGCGCATGCGCGGCCTTTCATACTAGGAGGATTGTCCTGTTCACCGGCTTCCGTCCGACGCGCTCCCGATTACTGCGACAGGCGCAAGATGCCGCTTCGCAACCGCTGTGCAGCGAGTGTGCTTCAGCCGGCGCGACGGGCAGCCAAGCTCGCTTGAACCCTCTTCGCGTCGCGGTGCACTTTCTAAGGGCCCTAAACTCGTCAAACACAAAGTATGAGCCGAAAGTTCGCGGAGGGCGCCCATTGGACTTCGGCGCAAAAAGCGCGAAGTCATCGTCGTGATGAGCCCATCGGTGCGCTCCGTCAACTGCATGACGAGTTTACAAGCCCAGATAACATTTCGCTGGAATCCCGGCTACGGGTTGAGCAGCGAATAATCTGTATTTTGTTCTTATTCATGATCTTGCGGGTCGTGCCCTGAAATTGGCAATGACGCACTTTCTTCAGTGTTTGACAGTGATCGTGATTATTTTTCTCTCTTTTTTTTCCGTAAACCTGGGCGGTATTATTTTATACTCTTTCTTTTTTTTTTCTTGTAAACCCGGGCCGTGTTATTGGATACCAACATGTAATAAAGCGTATATAAACCAACTCGCTTTGCTTATGCTTTCAGTTCTGAGAAAATGCCGCCCAGAGTTGCAATCAAGGGAAGGAGGTTGATTGCAAGACTTTTCACGGAAGGAGTTCCACAGCGGGAGATCTGTCGCCGTACGGGACGGTCAGAAACAGCGGTAACTAGAATTATTAAAGCTTTTCGCGATGATGAGGGAAGACTCTCTGACGCAAAGCATTCTAGCCGCCGGAGATGCACAAAGCAAGAAGACGACATGTTAATCGTAGCTGCAGCAGTAGCCGACCCTTTCCTAAACGCGCGAGAAATTCGTGAAGAGCTGGGTCTTGATATTTCGTGCGACACGATACGTCGACGACTCAAGGAAGCAGGGTTGGAGAGCCGTGTTGCGGCACAAAAACCGCATGTCACCGAGCGACAGCGTCAGCAAAGACTGGACTTCGCACGGGAATTCCAGCAGTGGACCGTGGACGATTGGTCCCAAGTTATCTTCACGGATGAGTCCACGTTTTGCGCCAGGTGGGACCAAAAGCGGCGTGTTTGGCGGCTGTGGAATTGCAGGTATGGCTGACTAGCAACCTCTTTAAACTACAGAAATTTGAAGAAAATCAGATGTTATAAAATAATGATGCTAAAAACAGCAGCCGAGAGACGTTTGTGGCAAGTCACTCAACTACTTTACCTCAGTTACCGGAATTATCACTTCTATCATCGTCGCTGCCTTTGATATTATTCCTCTATTGTTTATGCTAGCAGCTTCAATATTAAAAATAAGTGATTTCAGCACGTTTTAAAACCCAAACGCGCACGTTATGTTAGCTGTTCCACAACTGTAAGTTGTCTTGATTTTCTTTCTTCCCTCCTCCTCCCCATTTTTTATTGCTTGATGGCGAACGGAAAAAAAAAATTAAATCTTGCTCACGGCAGATCGTAAAAACAAATGCGCACTTCAGAAACACAATGCAGTGTTCACAAGGACCCTTGAAACTCAAGCGGACATGCTGTACCGCACCATTCGCGTATGCCACGCATGAATAGAAGCCGATTGGAAGACAGAAATCTTGCGAAACTCGTGTAGATTTGCGGAATGCTCGTGGAATGCCAAACCAACTAGGATTTGTAAACTAGCCGTAGTGCCCCAGGTGGCTCGGTGGCTTGGCTTCGTCGGAAAAACGGAGGGAACGTCCCCAATGCCAGTGAATAACCGATAAATATGTTTGGGCTTTCTAATCTAAATAGAGGTATCAAACAACGATCGTGTAGAGTGCACATTTTCACGCCACTTTTTTTACTCTCTGCATAGATACCTGCCAAGCTACGTTCAAACTGTGCTTTCAAGTGGCCGGTGCGCGGTCGCCGTCTGGGGTGTCATCACCAAGGATGGCCTCGGTCCCCTCGTACGAATCGAAGGGCGGTTCAACGCATCGTCGTACTGCAACGTTATCGACGAGGAATTAATTCCGTATGCCCTCGACGGGCCTTTTCCGGACGGTGCCTACCTGCTGCAGCACGACCGCAGCCCCGTGCATACTGCACGAAGGGTGGACGCGCTCAGCGAAGATCGCGGCGTGTGCCAGCTTCCATGGCCGCCCAATGGGGCAGACATGAACCCCATCGAAAACGTGTGGGGCCTCATGAAAACACGCCTCGCATCACAGAATCTGGGCAGCGCCACGGCCGAAGCGCTTTGGAGCGCAATAAGTCAAGAATGGGAAGCGCTGCGTGAACACACTGAGATCGTGGCTTCGCTCTACGATTCAATGCCACGACGTCTAGAGGAGGTGATTACCGTGGACGGTAATTTCACTGTGAAGTGACGGTAGACCATGGCGTGCTGGCGAACAAGAAGTGCTTTATTCCTGAGCGCAGCGTTTTTATCACAGACATGACGTCACGAGCCGGGCGGCGCTTCCGCGATGACTCAGTCGCGATAACTCAATCCGCACGCTACAACATTTCCTTCCCCCTCACGCAAAAAATGTTCATTTCCTAAAGTCCTCGGGTTTAAAACGGTCAGGCGGCTTGCATGCGCGAGAAGTTCGTCGAAGGGGTTGCTTCTCAGCTGTCGTAGACGGAACCGGCGTTGCTGCAGTAGGTGTCGCCGGTCCTTCCCGGGCGGGGTCTGCGGGTGGCGCTGGTGCTGTTGCGTCCGGCGTCGGCGTCGTACCAGCCGCGTCTGGAGGTGGCGCCGCTAGCGTCGGTGCCTTCGCACTGGGTGGTGCTGACGGCACCTGGGCTGGAAAGCTCGTGGGTGGCGGTATCGATGGATTGTCATCCACAGTCGTACTGCCCGGTCTCACGATGGGTTCCGCGTGTCGAGGACGCAGGTGGTCAGCGTGCGTGAAGCGAAGCTGGTTGAGCACTTTCACAACGTAGGTCGCAGCACTGACAACCTGACACACGATTCCTTCTTCCCAGGAGACACACTCACCGCGCACTGTTTTCACAAAAACACGGTCGCCCACGTTGAACACACGTTCAGCACCTCGCGACACATCGCGTTGTTCCTTCACATGTTCTTGCTTGCGTTGCATGGCGCCGGCAAAGTCGGGTTTAAGCAGGGAAAGTTTTGTGCGTGGCTGGCGCCTTAGGAATAGTTCGGCGGGCGTTTTCCCAGTCACGCTGTTTGGTGTGTTGCGATAACAGATCAGAAAACTGTCAACATTTTCCTGAAGAGAACACTGCCGACCGGTTGCTTCGCCTTCGAGCACCTGCTTGAGCAATGCTCGTTTCACAGTTTGAACCGTGCGCTCTGCGGCACCGTTAGAGGCTGCGTGGTAAGGCGGGGTGCGAATGTGTTTCACGCCGTTGGCGTTCATGAAGTCAGCAAACTCAGCTGACGTGAACTGCGGACCGTTGTCGCTCACTAGTACCTCGGGCAAACCGTAAGCAGAAAAGGCTCCTCGAAGTTTTTCCAATGTTTTAGTGGTGGATGTAGAAGACATCACCCAAACCTCGATCCATTTCGAAAATGAATCGATGAGCACCAGAAACACATGGGCACCCTTTGAAGCGAAATCCACGTGCACACGCGACCAGCACCGGGCAGGGTAGCTCCAGGGATGCAGTGGTACCGGACGGGCGGCGGGCTGAACTGCTTGGCAGATTTGGCATTTCTGTACGTGATGCTCGATAGCCGCATCAATTCCAGGCCACCATACAAAACTTCGTGCCAGCATCTTCATGCGGCTGGCGCCTGGATGCTCCTCATGCAGCAAGTTCAGCACGCGGTCCCTTAGCTGTTCCGGGATCACTACACGGACACCCCATGTTACACAACCTTGTTCAAGTGAAAGCTCGTCGCGGCGCACGTAATAAGGCCCAAGTTCTTGCGCGTGCGGTCTTGGCCAACCATTTAGAGTAAACTCAGCAACACGGGACAATGTAAGGCTTCGTTTTGAAAACTTTGCAATCTCCTCTACGTTCAATGGGAGGCACTGAAACACTGAGAGGCACTCAACAGGTTCTTCCTCAGCGGGCACCGCCTGAGGCAATCTCGACAGAGCATCAGCCACTTCCATGTTTTTCCCTCGGCGATACTTCAGCCGATATTTATAAGCTGCCAGCACCATGGCCCAACGCTGCATTCGTGCGGCGGCCAGTGTCGGTACAGGCCTTTCCTGGCCTAAAATGCCTAGTAGCGGCTGATGATCAGTGTAGATTGTGAACTCTCTGCCAAAAAGATAGCGATGAAACTTTTTGAGACCAAAGATTAACGCCAAAGCTTCGCGCTCGCACTGAGCATACTTTTTCTCGGCTGGCGTTAACGTTCTCGAGGCAAACGCGATAGGCCTCTCTTCGCCGTCAGCAGTCTCGTGAAAGATAACTGCTCCTACGCCATACGAGGACGCGTCACAGAGCATTCCGATCGGCTTATCGACGTCATAGAATGTCAGCACCCGGCTGCTAGTCAGCAACTTTTTCGTATTAGCAAACGCCTCGCTGCATTCCTTCGTCCATGACCATTTCTGATCCTTCTTCAAAAGCCGATAAAGCGGCTCTGCGACTGTTGAACCATTCTGTAAAAACTTCGAATAGAAGTTCAACATGCCCAGATATGCCTTCAATTCTGTGACGGTGGTGGGCTCAGGTGCTGCCAAGATCGCTCTTTTCTTGGCCTCTGTAGGGTAAATCCCGTCTGCGGTCACCGTGTGACCCAGATACGTCACGGATTCTTGGAAGAAACGGCACTTGTCCGCGTTGAGCGTGATGTTGTACTCACGCAACCTTCCCAAGACACGTTCGAGAGTCTTTTGGCAGTCTGCCGTGTCAGATCCTGCCACGATTACATCGTCAATGTAGCATCCGACGTGCGGAATGCCTTTTAGCACCTCATCCATCATAGACTGAAATATTGCGGGTGCACTAGCCACACCGTAGGGAAGGCGTTGGAATTCAAAAAGACCCAAGCTAGTGTTAACTGTCAAAAATGGTCTGGACTCTGGAGCGAGTGGCACCTGCTGATACGCCGCAGAGAGGTCAAGTACGCAAAAAACCTTGCCTCCTGCGAGGACAGAATACAGGTCCTCCGGCCTGGGCAGCGGATAGTGATCGGTTTTCAAAACAGGGTTTATCGTTACCTTGTAGTCTCCACAGAGTCTGAGACTACCGTCCTTTTTTGGGACAACGACAAGTGGTGTTGCCCAGTCACTGCGCGCTACTTGTCGAAGCATGCCCGTTTCTACCATGCTGCGCAGCTGGGTTTCTACCTGCTCTCGCAAAGCAAAGGGAACAGGTCTAGCACGGCTAAACACAGGGACCGAACCAGACTTCAGCAAGATCGTCGCTTCGAACTTCTGTATGGTGCCCAGTGTTTTTGAGAACACGGAAGGGTATTTCCTTTGCAGTGCCTGAGCCCTATCTTCCGTTGTGACTTGGCCAATCTCATGCCAGTCCAGCCTTAAACGCTGGAGCCAGTTCCGTCCAAGCAGCACTGGAAGCCTCCTTCCATTGTCTTTGACAATTACGACGGGCAACGTCATACTTTGACCCTTGTACACAACAGCGACATCACACTGTCCTTTGAGCTGCAGATGTTCTCCAGTGTACGTGCGAAGTGACAATTTAGCCGGACCACATTTTACATGTGGAAAAACAGAGTCGTACACGCTCTCAGGAACAATTGTGACTGCCGCTCCTGTGTCAATTTGCATGATTAAGGGTTTCCCTTCAACTTGAACACTCACTTCGTAACACGATTGAGTCTTATTTATAAAATGGTACACGTCGTGCTCAGTGTCTTCGTCAGAACATTCCAGAGCATTCGTGTTCTTCGGCACCCTTGTGTTTGGACACATTTTTTGCAAATGTCCTACTCTCGAGCACTTGCGGCAGACAAAGCTCTTGTACCAACAAACATTCGAGGCATGACTCCTACCACATCTTTCACACCTTTCCTTTTTAGGCCCTTGAATATCTTTAGGTTTCGAGCCCTTTGATCGTCCCTTTTGTCGACTCTTTATAGCGTTTAACGATGCCTCTTTGTCTCTCGATTGCATGAGTGCAGTGTCTCGAGCCGCCAGTTCTCGATCGAGCGCAATCTTGCAAGCGCCTTCAAACGTTAAGTTTTCCTCGGCAAACAAGGCACGCTGGCTCTCTTCATTACGTATGCCTGCTACTAGCCTGTCCCGAAGGGCGTCTTGCAAGAAGTTGCCGAAGTCGCATTTCCTAGCCAAGTGTTTCAGTTCAACTATGAAGTCTTCTACGCTTTCATGTTCGTCCTGAACACGTCTGTTGAACTTACAGCGCTCCGCTATAACGGAACTCTTAGGGCTGTAATGTTCTATTAACAACTGTTTAACAACTGCATACGACTTCTCGCCAGGGGACGCCGGCACGACCAGACTCTTTAGCACTTCATAAGCCTCAGGGCCTATCACTGTCAGAAATACGGGAAGCACTTTCTCGTCCTTTATGTCGTTTGCCACTAAAAAATGTTCAAATCGTTCCAAATACGATTCAATGTTCTGTGTCTTAGGGTCAAACTCCGATATTCTTCCCAAGCGTGACATTTCGGAACCCCAAAAGAAACACAGTACTCATCCGCTCGACGTTCCCTTGCCTAGCAGGTTGTCCCCGTTGCTGTTCAAGTCGAGTTGCCGAGGCGAAATCTCGGGGGCGTTGCTCGTTGCCCTTTGTCGGTACACGAAGGCGGTGGCCGGCGTGCTGCTTGCGATGTCATACTCCGGGAATATGTAGCGTCGCTGGCAGGCTTCAACGCATGACAAGCTGCGCTTGCTCTTCCGTGGCCGTGCGTTCCTTCGCGTCACTCGCCTCGCTGTCGCTTTCCGTTGCCTACGAGGGCACGTAGACAGCCTCGTCGCCAAATGAAGTGACTGTAGACCATGGCGTGCTGGCGAACAAGAAGTGCTTTATTCCTGAGCGCAGCGTTTTTATCACAGACATGACGTCACGAGCCGGGCGGCGCTTCCGCGATGACTCAGTCGCGATAACTCAATCCGCACGCTACAACACACTGGCCGTTAGCCGCGCTCTGCAGTCAGGGCGATATGTCTGGGCGACTCATTTCACCTTCTTTTATTTCATGCAAGTAAATGATTTCCAATTTATTTTCATTCGCTGATTTCGCGTTTTGTGTAACTCCCTTCACTACCTTCTTAGCACAAACCTCGGTACTACACAATTTTCCAAAAGCCGACCCAGAAAATTCTGCTTCTATACTCCCTTTCACCTTCAGTCTAAGCGCAGTGGACGCTGTGAGTAATCCGAGCCAATCCAGGTCGCTCCGCCAAATTAGAAGATCACGTGCTACTCTCGTGGCACTGTATTGGCTCATAGCTTCCGGAACGGAAGAGGGGAACAGAGGCTTTCTCCTTTTTCATCTACCGTTCCGTGTGTTTTCTCCTCCCCATCCTTCTTTTCCGTCGCCCTTTGCACTTAGCCTGTCATTGACGGGACGCCTCGCTTCACTTTCGGTGCGCGGAACACTCATTTTCAATTTCAGGGCACGACCTGCAGGGTCATGGATAAGACCAGAATAAAGATAATTCGCTGCTCAACCCGTAGCAGAGATTCTAGTGAAATGTTATCTGGAGAGTGTACCGCGCCGCGAAGACGGGTCAAGCGAGCCCAGCTGCCCGTCGCGCCGGCTGAAGCAGACTCGCTGCATAGCGGTTGCGAAGCGGCACCTTGCGCCGGTCGCAGTAATCGGGAGCGCGTCGGACGGAAGCCAGGGAACAGGGCAAGCCTCCTAGTATGAAAGACCGCGCATGCGCAATGCGCGGGTCTTGACACCAGGCAGCGGGCCACGAGACGGCGCGGCAATGCAGTTTGGCTGGCGCTCCCATGTCCCGCAAAATTTTGCGGCCGACTGTACATGTCATTACCATTGAAAGGATCCACCGGCTTGGTTATAACAAAGGAGATCGCCCGAGGCCTGTGATTTTGAATGTTTTGAATGTTCGTGATTTTAACGAAAAGGTCAATTTATTTAAAAACGCTTACAAACTAAAAGGTTCCGAAATTTCTATCTCTGACGACTACTCAAAACAAGTACGATTACTTCGAAAAAAAT